AGGGCCAGCCTGAACTACAAAGGGAGGCCCTGCCTCAAAAAAACAAAAACCGAAAAAACAGAACGGAGTCCAAGATTTACTCAGCACGTACCATGTACACGGAGCTTTGCGTTCCTTCATTCATTTTATCATCATAGTACCCTTTGAGGTAGATGCGTAATATTTCCCCCATTCTCCAAGTGAATACAACCTGAGAAGGCCTTGCTGCAGATCTTTCAGTCACGCCTGACTAGCTGTTGCTGCCTTTGCTCTCATCTGTGCAGTAGAGGTGGCCTGTCTCATGCAGTCTAAAGTTGGTCTCCTTCGTGCGTATTTGTATTGGGCAGACTTTTCCCCTAAGATAATGAATGGTGTTCCAGTGATAAGGTGGAAGGAGTTTGTCCAGTTCTGCACCTCCCTCTGCATAAGTTGACTGTTGAGGTTTTCGTCTTGGAGAACCATGAGCTGTTTACCAATAGTCTTCTGCTTTTGCTGTTCTGTTCCCCAGGCCCAGTTCCAGCACACTTTTAGAGCCAGACATGATTTCCTTCAGAATCTTTTCTTTTTAAATTTGTATTTGTTTATACAGACACTAGCACATATATGTGTGTGTGTGTGTGTGTGTGTGTGTGTGTGTGTGTAGGCATACTTAGAATAAATGATAACTAATGTCACAAATCAAAATGTGAATCTTTATCATGTTTATTTCTGTTTAGGAACATGCTTGTTTTATTTGCTTACTGTATTTTCTACATGTATTTAACAATACTCAGTTTTATGTGGGAAGTATATTAGCACTAATAGCTATCATGGCCCATAAACTACTATTTTGCACATTGTCAAATTGATTGTATTAAAAAACTATATAAAGTAATTTTTTGGGTTCTTTTGATTATAATTTAAATATACCGGGCAGTGTTATGACCAATAATGAGTAATAACTGAGCAGCCATGGTGCTTTTTGCACATTAAGTCCCGTTACTCTACTTGATCATACTACATCTTGCCTGTGGTTTGTGTGGATATACACAGTGGCTGTGTGGTCCTTTGTCTTGGAGAATTAGCTGTTTGTGGGAAATTGTACTTTTGAATTTTGTAGATTCTTTAGTCTTTTCGTTTGAAAAATATTTAGATAATGTTGCCCAAAGGGCTCACAGCGAAAACAGCTGACTGACTTTTGGGAAATTAGTGAGCAGTAAGGCTATTTTTAGCTTTTACTCCTTGCAAACACTTCCTTTTGTTCTTTAGAATACATTGTTGATCTGTTAGCTGTGCTGCCCCCCACCATGTGGCTTTAGGTAAAATAAGCCCTCTTTTCTCTACTCTGCATGACAATAACTGTCTTGATTCTTATTTTAATTCTAACTCATGAGTTACAGTTATTTATTTGTTCATTTTTTATACTGAACAGCTCCCCCAAACACACACACACACACTCACACACTCATGCACACTTTGTGTTATTTGGGGTTAATTTTCTCCCTTATCTAAAAATACTGACTAAAAATAAAAGAAAATAAAAATACTGACTGAAACTCATTTGTAGATTATACTTGCATCTGTGACTTTACCACTAGCGCCCGTGACATGAGAGATTCGCGTTCAAGTGAAGCCACTCTTAACTTCTGGAGCTGGAATCCTCAGTCGGGTGTTCGTCCCCGCTGTGCTGTTCTAAAGCTTCCACCATGCCTCCCGTCTCATCTTCCTCAGTGAAGAGAAGTGCAGTGACGATTAGGTCACTCCTACCGACTGAGCTTCAGGATTTTATGTTGTTTTTATACACACTTATTTCAAGATAGAAAAGCTGGTTTTATTGCCATGTTCTTTTATTTTGGAGGTTGTTTTGTTTTGTTTTATTTTAGACAGGGTCTCACTATGTAGTTCAGGCTGTCCTTTAACTGACTATGTAGCCTGGGCTGGCCTGGAACTCGCAGCAATACTCCTGCCTCAGCCTCCCAAGTGCTGGGATTATAGTCCCAGGTTCTTTTTCAAGCATATTTTAACTTCCATATGAACAGACTATCCAACTTAAATTTTTTATAAAATTAAGCTTTTTTAAGGTCAAATTTGTCTCACTGATGTGAGGAGTTGCTAAATAACAGATTATTTTTAAATTTTTTGTTCATATTCTTGCTTTATAATTAAAATATACATTCAATGAAAAAATACTAAATGAAAAATCTATACAAGCAAGATATATAAAATTTACCTTTTTTGTTAGCAGATTACATAACTTTGCCTTTCTCTACTGTTAGTAACTCTAAAAGCCAGTTATAAAATTATGCAATTAACATTACAGAATCAAAAATTCAGGATAACTGGTTACAAAATGGTTAACCTTTGCACCTCAGGCTTATGTTCAGTCTTTGAAAAATCTTCAGCATTTAGAAGAAGCCAAATTTCTAAGGAACTGAAGCCTCATTTTAATTAATTACATAAAGGAGAACTTAAATGTAAGACCTTTCAATTTTAGATCTTTTCCAACAGGATTTAGTCATTTTGCAATATTATAATTTAAGCAGGGAATGGTGGTACATACCTAGAATATCAACTGCTAAGGAGGCTGTCAGGAGGACCATAAGTTCAAGGCCAGCCCGGAGTTCTCAGTGAGACTTTGTCTCAAAATAAAAAATAAGAAGGGCTGGAGATGTAGCTTAGTGGTAGAGTGCCCTGAGTTCATTCCTCAGTACCACCAAAGAGGAGGAGGAGAAAAAAATAATCATAATTTAATCCTTTCCCCCATTTATCTAAAAGATAAGGGGTACATAATAACATTCATTGTTAAGAACTGTAATTATTCAAATCCTGTTTCTGTCAGTCTCTATATGCCTCAGTTTCCTTATCTCAAAAATGGAGTTAATAGTTCTATCACATAATTGCTTGATGATATAAATCAGATAATTCATATAAGGAGCCTGACCCAGTGAAGACTTCATGGATATTGGCTGCTCCTGTTTTATCTTTCAGTAGGATGTAATGTTAGAAAATGACATGTCCGAATGAGGCACGAGACTCCATTTCTGGAGATCTTTGCTTCTTTCTCTGTAAGAATTTTTTACTGGAATGTTCTCAGCAGAGATGGCCTAATTCTAGTACCTCATGAATGTAGTCTCCCTTGGCCCTCCAGTATTTGCAGTTCTTCATAACTAGAATCAGTGCAATTATAATGGGAAGTCAAGCAAAACATGTTTTTGCATAAAGAGAGGAAGGCAGAATGTACAATGGTGTTTTGACATCTGTGCCTCTGCCCTAGGCCAGAAGCAGACTGGTAGTTTGCTGCTAATTTGGCGTCCCATCTGCTGCCTTCTCAGAGATTAGGTCCCTCTTCCTTTTCTCTCCTGGTAAGAGCCCCAGGGATGATGAAGTCAGGGAGAGAAGGTTGGAATGTAAGGCATGTAAAGAGGACAGAGGTTCAAGGATAGACAACAGAATGGCAGCCCCCTTTCTACAGATGACCTCGTCTGGCCAGTGCTAAATCTCCTCTGCCAGCGACAGTTTTACAAGTGTTCTGTGGACAGTGTGAAGGTTATAAAACACTAGCTTGACCATCTTTCTGCCCTGCAGCTTTCCTGACATCTGGCTCGATTTACTAAATTTGACTTTTTGTTGTTGTTGTTTTTGTATGTTTGATACTGGGGATCAAACCTAGGGGCACTCTACCACTGAGTTATATCCCCAGCCTGCTTCTTATTTTTTTCTTACAGTAGACCCTCAAGTTACAACTGACCTAACGTACAAACAACTTGAGTTTGGACTAAAATTTTCGTTTTTAACTTACAAAGTCTTGAGTTATGACCCAAATGCGAACCACTTGTGCTTCCAGGTACAGATTTAACCCTTAAAGAGTTCTGGAAGGAACGTTACAACATCCTTTCCTGTGTGGGGTTATTTGAGAAATCCTTGGCCAATGTCTAAAGACACTGAGATCTGTCAGGATACAGGAGAGAGACTTTGAAGGCTGTGTAGAGGAGCCTGAGCCTTCACTTGACCAACTTGAGTTACAACCAGCCCTCATGAATGAATTGAGTTCATAAGTCAAGGGTCCACTGTATTTGGAGATGGGGTCTCACTAAATCGCCTAGGCTGACCTCAAACCCAATGATCCTCCTGTTTCAGCCACAAAAGTAGCTGGAGTTACAGGCATGTACCACTGTATGCGACTGGCTTTTAAAAACTTTTGAACTTTTATTTTTTATGTTCCGTGTCCAGGTCCTTGGAACCAGTCCTTTATTTTTTTCAGAGGTGCTTGAACTTTTGAATGTATCCCTTCTCTTTTTCTGTAGTATTTAACTCACCCCACTTACCAAGTAATTTACAGACTTAACTCTCACTGAACAGACTTTATTTTAAGGTACCATCTTTCACCCAATCCAAGAGGTCCAACTCAGGCTTTCCATAGCATGTTTATCTTAGAACCACTGATTTAAAGTTTAGAGCACACACAAAGATATCAGATTGGAATGTTGTAACTTAACTCATTAAATGACTTCAACTTGAATAGTTAAGCAATAGAGTGATGAGTGCACCAGAGAAGCATGTATTGAATAAACAAAAGTAAGCAACTTGAAGAAGGAGCTAGGAAGAAGTTGTTGTCTTATGATTCTCTTCATTTTAATAGAAAATTCTTTAAAAACATTTTGACTTTCAAATTTTAAGGCTTTTTTTTAGCTTAGACCGATTTTTTTTTTTTAGTTAGGATTTCTTGATCTATATTTGTCTGTAATTTAAAAAAACAAAATAGTGACCTGGGGATTTAGCTCAGTGGTTCCACGGCCTGCCTCACAAGCGCAAGGTCCCAAGTTTGATCCCTGGTACCAAAAAAACAAAACAAAATAGTACTTCAATATACAGTATTTGGAAAGTTTTTCATGTTATTTGGTTGCTGTATTTTATTTTCACTCACTTTAGGATATTGTAACACCTCATTCAAAAGCACAGTTGTCTGATTTTGCTGTGTTTTAATTATAATTCATCACATAATTTTCATTCAGTCTTTAAAAATTCCTTTGTTTCCTTTCTAGACTGATTTTGCACGATTTAGTGGAACAAATGTGGAAACTGACTTTGTAGAGGTGCCATCACAAATGCTTGAAAATTGGGTGTGGGACATGGATTCCCTCCGAAGATTATCAAAACATTATAAAGATGGAAGTCCTATTACAGATGATCTGCTTGAAAAGCTCGTTGCTTCTAGACTGGTCAACACAGGTAAGACTTCTAAATTTAGCTAAAGAAAATAAATGAGATTTTTTTTTTTTTTTTGGTACCAGGGATCGAACTCGGAACCTTGCGCTTGCAAGGCAGGCACTGGAACCACTGAGCTAAATCCCCGGCCCAAAATGAGAATTTCTTAATGCAGAATTGGTGGTTTCTTTTTATATGTGCTAATATGTAGAGGGAAGCATGCTAAATATATTGGAGTGAAAAATTCTGGGATATACCCAAGGAAAAAAAATCTTTTAAATTGTAAAAGTAATGAGATGTCTTGCTCCCCATTTGATGATGAGTTCTACTGAACTCAGTTTTGGATTTTTGTGGTTTTTTTTTTTTGAGACAGGGTCTTACTATCTAGTTCAGGCTAGCCTTGAACTCACTATGTAGTCCAGGCTGGCCTTGAACTAGGGGCAATCCTTCTGTCTCAGCCTCCCAAGCGCTGGGATTACAGGCATGCACCATCACAACCAGCTCCTGAAATCAGTTTTTGAAATCTTTGATCTTGTCATGTTAGAACACATGGTTCTCTCTTCAAAATATGTTCATTCTTATGTTATTAGGTCTTCTGACTCTACGCCAAATTGTCTTGAGCAAAGTTGATCAGTCCCTCCACACCAACACATCACTGGATGCTGCAAGTGAATATGCCAAATATTGCACAGAAATTTTAGGAATTGCAGCTACTCCAGGTATGTAAATTCTGCAACTCCTGATCTCCTTTTTCCTATGAAGCACAGGGAGTACTTCTAACAATGCAGGGGTGGTGGAGTTGCTCAAGCCTAATTTCGCTTCCTTCTGATTCCTGGAATCAGGCTATGACTTTCAGATAAGCGTACTATCCCCATGAGTTATCCTGTCCAAATGTGCTTGAAGGAAAGGTGGCTGCAGATTCATAGCATTTTAGTGTAATCAAGCATGAGCAGTTGGCCTGCTCCCAGGAGCTGAGAGAGCCATTCACACTTGGCAGCACCCTCTTGGCTCCTCCCTGCCTGTGTGCACCATGACTTCCTTCTGATTTTCAGTCAGAAGATGGTAGAAAGAAAAATTCTGGAGAGAAGCATGAACTTCTCTTTTGTTTCTGATTCTGAGGTCAGTTATATTTGACTGCCAGTTTCTAGCCCGAAGCCTATGGATTCATTAGTGTATGTGTGTTTATATATTTTAGGCCAATAGATGTGTGTTTATATGTAGTTGGTGAGGTGAGGTTTTTTCACCAAGGAAATTGTTGTAAAATGAATCAGCCATGTTTACAGAGATAATAAAGTTAAGAATAGTTGTTTGAGTCACTCTAGCCTCCTCATGTCCTTTGGTGACCTGTTTATATTAAACCATAGAGCAACTCTGTGCTTTAAGCCACTTGGACAGACCCCTTCTTAAGGTAGCCCTAGAGATAGATTGACTTGGTAAAACCTTTTTTTGCTTTTCAAATAGAGTTTTGTTTCAGAACTCATCTAAAACAAGTGCCATTTTATTCTGAGACATTTTAGATAGTAAAATTGTGGCAAAGGGCTGGGGTGTGTGGCTCTGTGGTAAAGTACTTACCTAGCAGGCACAGAGCCCTGGGTTCAGTCTTCAGCACCTAAAAAAAACAAGTGGAAAGAGTATGGTTAGTACAGTATTAGAGTGTTAAGACATCTGGATCTTTAAGGGTTAAGAAAGACTGATGGAATACTGAGCTACCTGATGGGTGTGAACAAAGCCTCTGAAACTATTGTTAGACATTCCTGAGCTTAGGCTGAAACCAGCTCTGCGGTTGAGCCATGGATGAGAGAAGTTTGTGAACATCTTGGCCAAGGATACACATAACCCAAGTACCAGAGGTGAGATCCTATCATTCACTCTGTCCTCCCACAGCAAGACCTTGAAGGGAAACCTTAGCTAGCTGAGAACCTGGTAATTAACACTTGCTCTCACACTGATTGAAATGTATCTTCTTTTAAAGGCACAAATATGCCAGCTACTTTTGGACATTTGGCAGGGGGATATGATGGCCAGTATTATGGATATCTTTGGAGTGAAGTATTTTCCATGGACATGTTTTACAGCTGTTTTAAAAAAGAAGGGATAATGAATCCAGAGGTATTGTGTGTATTTTTTCTCTTTTATTAATTTTGTAGTTGCCTTTCTTCCTTTTAACTCTTAGTGTAAAATATTTATGACATTTAGATTTTAGAGTAAAAAGTTTGGTAACAGCTTTTAACTTTAAGGTCTTGCATCTTCTCAAATCACTGTACATCATTAAGTTGCAGTGTACAAGTGATTAACTCTAAATCTATAGGGTTAAAAGAAAGCCTACTGCATTTTCTTGCTTATTAACATTCCAGTATATTGCATAATTAAAAATTCAAAGCCTTGTTTACCCATTTGAGAATTTATAGCTGCTAGTTTTGACATGTGCCATACAGTGTTCTAGTTTTATAGAGTTGGGAAAGAAAGGTAAACTCTTTCCTGATGTAAATGGTCTCCCTATGTTTTGATTATATTTATTCATTTTCTTTGTACCTCTTCTGTAGGAGGCACCCTTTTTCTGTGGCTAGCTACTCTCCCTACTGTATAGTTTGTAACCTAACTGCCTTTAGGTAACTTAAACTGCTTCATTAACCTAAGGCAGTCCTCCCGTATACAGCGAGTGAACTGCCAAGTGGCAGCCAGCCAAGCCTTCCTGTGTTACAGTCCCTAAGTTTCCATGCTCATTGAAGACTCAACTGTCAGATTGTTTTTAAAGTCGATATATTTTCCTCTTTGTTTTTAAATTGTTTGATTCAGAAGTAAGAGAATGGATTATCAAAATCAAGTTCTGTTTATTTCAGTCTTCTGATTTATTCTCTGAATTATTTCTAAACTACACAGTACTTGCACATATGTATTGAAATACACTGGTATAATTGAGACCACCATTCCTTCCCTCCTTTCTCCCTAAAGAAATACCTATAGGGTACCAGCATCTCCCATCCCACCCCACCCATCTGGTAGGTTCCTTTAAGCCTACTTAAATGATGTGGCCAGCCTTTGACCAAAGGTCCACTACTGATACTTGTTCTCATGGGATCTTCAGCCTTATCTAGCCCTTCATTCCTTGCCCATTTCCTGTAGAAAGGGTGCCCTTGGAATTCAGAGAGTGCTAGGGAAGATTGTATGACTCTATTAACTGCCCTATCCTGGATTATGCTTTCCAACCCAAACTGGTCACCCAGTGTTACTGTGTAGTTCTTTTCTGTCCCCTCACTAATATCCTCCGAGTCCCCACTTCTCTGGTAGTAGTTGATCTCTCTTCTTTTTTTAAGAAACTTGGGGAGGGTGTAGCTCAGTGGTAGAGCACTTGTTGAGCATTCATGCAGCCCTGGGTCCCATCTCCAACACCACAGAGGGAAGGAGAAAAGGAAAGATCAATTGAAACTACCTTCATCTTTCTTTACCTGTACAGGTTGAGTGTCTCTTATCCAAACTATTTGGGAGCAGAATGGTTTCATGTTTTGGAGTTTTTCAGGTTCTGGAATATTTGTGTAGATTTTACTGATTGAGGGACCCTAATCCAAAAATCTGAAATCCACAATGCTCCTAAATCCAAAACCTTGTGTCATGTCCAGACTCAAAAAGTTTCTGAATTTGGAGCATTTTGGATTTCAGAATTTTAGATTAAAGATGCTGATCCTATACTTAGCTAGCTTATTCCTGTCACAGAAGAAATGTCTCTTAACTCCAAGCCTCACTGGTTTGCCATCTTGGAAGAAAACTTGCTACCAGCTATGATAACTCCAGTCAGCACTACTATCCTGTTGTTCATTTATAGAATAATTTCTTGGTGTGAGAAAGTTTTTGTGAACTTTAGTTTCCTGGCCTTGCCCTCACCAGCTGAACCAGAAAGTTATCCTCCCTTCAGAGACACCACTAACAACCTTCTCACCAACACCAGGGACCCCCATCTACCTCTTTCTTTACACCTTGGTTCTTGTTATCCTTCTCTTTGTTCTCAGCCCACAGGTTGGCTGTCAGGCCCCTTCCTTAATGCCCAGCACCTCCTGTGTGTCACACAAGTTTATGTGTTCCCCCATGCTTTCACACATTTATTCCTTCTATTTCTTCCACCTGAGATGGACATCTTCCTTGTTTGTACCTCTCAAAAATCCTACCATTCTTAAGGGTCCCACTCAAAACCCACCCATTTATGAAATCTTCTAGATCATCTGAACCAGGTGATCTGACCATAAGAATGGATTTGGGGAAGAGCTAGGGATTTAATTCAGTGGCACTGCACCTGCCTTGCAAGCTCAAGGTCCTGAGTTCCATCCCCAGTACCAAAAAAAAAAATGGACTTGGAGAAGGCATTCAATAAGCTTTTGCTTATGTATGGAGTGTTGTTTTTGTGGGTTTTTGCGGGGGAGGTAGGTTGTTTTTGTTTTGTTCTGTTTTGGGGGTTTTGGGGGGGGTTGGTTGTTTGTGATTTTGGTTTTTTTAAGACAAGGTCTCACCATGTACCTCAGACTGGCCTTGAACTCACCAAAATCCTCCTGCCTCAGCCTCCTGAATGCTGGAATTACAGGCATGCATCACCATACCAGGCATGTCTGCAATGTTTAATTGTAACTATTACATAAGCCAAATAAGTACATTACAAAATATTTTATACCATAAGATGCGTTTTATTTTGTACTGGGGATCGAACTCTGAACCTTGCACTTGCAAGGCAGGTGGTGGCACCACTGAGCTAAATCCCCAGCCCTAGAGGCAATTTAAAATATATATATATTTAGGGGAAAAGCACATCAAAATGTTGTCTAGTGCTTGTTTCAGGGTGTTAAGTTTGTGGATGATTATTAACGTTTTCCTAAACATTTTATGTGGCTTTTCTTTATTTTTACCTTTTCATGGGGTGTTTTAGAAACTGGAAAAGAAAGAGACAAAAGCTAAATGATACAAGTACAGTTCTGACATCTTCCTGACTCTCCCTGGTTGGTAGGCTTCCTGGCATAAGTATGCATCCCCCAAAGTTCAGCTCCTTCATTCACCTCCTCTGTGTGTCCACTCACATGGCCCCATCCCCAGGAGCCTCTGCTCTTCCAGCTGTCAAGAGAGCAGCCAAATCAGTGGGTCTCAAGCTACTCACAAGTCCAGCACAAGCAATCCTGGTGTTAGGCTTCTCTGTGCTGCTTATTCTCAAACTTCACAGCTTGGCCGGCAGCCATACTATTCACTTCAACAAAGGAGCAGGGGTTGAACATAGAGAAAAAGATCCCAGCAACTTGGAGCTGTTTCATGGTGATGTTAAAAAATTTTCAGCTTTACTAAAATTCTGGACTCAACAGTGCAGTCTATTATATGCTTTATGCTATGAGTCTGGCTTTAATCCCTTTCTTTTGACTTCGTTTTCCTTTCCTTTTAAATGTTGTGAAGTATCCTGTCAGTCCTTGCTGTCACAGCAATAGTGGACCTGGCTCCGTCCAAAAGCCAAGAAGCTCTTTGAACTCCACCCCTCACTGCAGGGACAGATACTAGAACCATTGCTTCTCATAATGTACTGTTTGTTTTTGTGGGTTGCTTTGTTTTGCTTTAGAGATATTTACTCTAACACCTGATTTAAAGATTTTAAATACCCAGGGTTGGTGGCACAGGCCTACAATCCCTGTACTCTAGAAAGCTGCAGCAGGAGGATTGCAAGCCCAGTTCAAGCCCAGTCTGTGTGACTTAGCAATTAACAAGACCCTCTTCCAAAACAAAATATTAAAAAAGGGCTGGAGATGTAGCTCAATGTGAAGGCCCCTAGTTAATCCCCCCAGTACCATAAAAGGGGGGTCAAATACATTTTAAAGATTTTTGTGATAGTGACCCTGTTCTGCCAAAAAAAAAAAAGCTTAGATTATTACACTTGTGTTGTAATGTATAGAAAAAGAAATATCGTTCTTCAGATCAGTAAATCACACATTATTAATTTTGTTCCATAGTCAAAGTCTTGTCATTAACTAACGCTGCAAACGATGGTATCACCTTTGGTGTTTTCAGATTTTGTGCGTTTATTTTAGTTTCAGTGGGTGGTTTCTTCCCTAGGTATAAAAATAGGAATTTTTGGTTTGGGGTTTGTTTTGGTTTTGGTTTGTTTTGGTTGGTTGTTGGGGGGGGGGGTTGGTTTTTGGTTCTTAGGTGACAGGGTGTCACTATATGTAGCTCAGACTGACCTTCAACTCACTGTGTAGCCCAGGCTGTCATTGAACACCAGCAGTCCTCCTGCTTCAGTCTCCCAAGGGCTAAGATTACATGTACTACTACGCTTAGCTAACAGTAGCAATTTTTATGGTATAAAATAGCTTAATGCTCAATGATCTGAAGTCATGGGAATCAGAACAATCACAGTGTATCATGCAGACTATGTTGTCTCAGGGCCTCACCCTCCCTAATATGTGTTTGCATCATTTTGAGAAGAGAGCAGGATGGCCCTTCAGGAGTCAGCATCTGCTATTGTTTGACCCAGGCACCAGAGGCTGCAGGCTGGGAGATTTTTATGAACATTATTAGTCTTGCAACACAGCAGCGTATATCCAGGCCTTCTTTTAGAACCTCGTGCCATCCTACAAACCCCAAGGTCTTCTCTGAGAACCAGATCAGATCATAGCAAGGAGAACTGTAGCCTAAAAGTATGCTACCTGTGTTTTTATGTATAAGTTTTACATTATTCTTCATAGTAAATAGATACATTTTAACTGTTTCATTGGTTTATTAAATGTTACCAAAAGTCTTTGTTTTTAGTAAAACATGGAGAAGTTGTCTCATTATCAGTCATAACTTCTCTTAACTTTTTTTTTTTTTTTGATACCGGGGATCAAACTTGGGACCTTACGCTTACGAGACAGGCGCCAGAACCACTGAGCTAAATCCTTAGCCCCTCTTAACTTTTGAGATTAACACTTTTCTAGCAAGCCCTAGAAACTCTTTCAGGATATCTTCAAGGTCACCAAATGTAATTTCAAAATCCAGCAGGTAATCATAGGGTTGAAAAACTGGGAGCATTTTAACTAGGGCCATTTCTTTTTATAAGGCAGCTTCATTGTGGGAAAATTTCCTAAGAGATAATAGACATTGTGGATTCA